GCTCATGGTCAGCCTGCAAGACACTAGGCCAAGCGAACAGACAAAGGCTACCTCAGAGGGGCACCCACCACCTCCTCCCCAAAAGAGGAGCTGGCTGCCACATTCAAGCGGTAAAACCTATTAAAGGTGGTAGCCGAGGACCATGATTCCGCCACACCAATGGTAGAGACAGAGGAGCCCCTCAACAAGAGGTGGCCACCCCATGGGATGAGTGGGCCCGCACTCCTGAGAGAAGGGGAACCCCTGCAGTGGCATAAACCTGCCGGGTTTAAAAGACTGCTTATTTTAGTTAATACTTTGATCTGAAATAAGATTAGTCTTTATCAATCAATTACGTCCCACATGTGTTTAAGGTGGTAGTAATTAAACCAGTATGTAAAAAGCCATCACTTGACCCATCTGTCTTAACTGTAGGTCAGCCTCCAATCTTCATTTTACTTTTAAAAATTCGTGAAAGAGTAGTTGTAAAACAGCTATCTGATCCTCCGCAGATGAAAATAGTTTATCTGAAGAGATGGAGTCATGTTTCAGAGCTCATCATTACAAATGACCTTTTTATGGCCTCTGACAGTGGACTGATTTTTCTGCTCCTTCTGCTAGACTTTAGTGCAGTATTCAATACTATTGACCACAATATGTTATTACAGAGATTAGAGCATGCCATAGATACTGAAATTACTACACTGGAGTGGTTTGAATCATATCTGTCTAACAGACTCCAATCCAATTCAAAATCATTCTGATTCGGCACTATATAAATAAAAATGAACTGAATTGAATTAACTACAAGTGCCTTAGTATCTCACAAGCCACTCGGAAACATGATAAAAATTCATGAAGGTTAGCCACGTCCAAATATCTAAAAGAAGTGCTGAGTGGTCAGCTGAAGTGCAGGAATATGATCCAAGCCATCAACGCATACGCCCTACCTGTCATCTGATACCCAGCAGGAGTGATAAACTGGTTACAGGAGTAGACAGATACCACTGATGTCAAGACACAAACACTACTCACATTGAACTGAGACCTCCACCCTCAGTCCAGCATCCTGAAAGCAATTCATGATAACAAAAGGAGCAAAATTTTCACACAGGGCCAGGTGGGTTTAGACAGCTTGTTTCCTTTAATAAATGGCATTACTATTTAAAATGATTTTGTATGTGCTTGGGTTATCTTTGTCTAATATTCAAATTTGTTTGCAAATACTCACGTAATACCTAATATGCCATAATGAGATAGCTGTTCTTTTGTTTTTTGTTTTTTTGAAAATGACAACAACAAATAAAAAAATAAGGAAAGGCAAAAAAAAGTAAGATGTCTTCATCAGTGATGTTTAGAAGTTCTTATAAATACTACATATTTCAGTGCTGTATTTTAATCTTCTTCTGATAAAAGCTTTGCTGAAAGCAACAGGAGTGAACCAGTCAGGGTCTTTGCTACATTTTAGCCCATTGGGAGATGCTCCGCGTCATACCTGGAAGGGGCGGAGCTGTTTTTCTAAAGATCCCGCGCTGTGCCGAACATGCAGAGAGTGCGTGAGAAACGCCTGGAGGAAGTAAGAGGCAACTGCGACTGTTGGAAAATTCAACACTGCGCTTTCTTTGCTGTGTTTTTAAAATGTGGGCACGAGCTGTGTTGTGCGCGGTGCTACTATCTGCGCTGTGTCCAGCGGGGAAGACGGAAGCCGAGAGGGACGAGAGAGAAGTGCAGGACTACCACAACTCCAACAGACTGGTAAATCCGAGTGTGGAATATTTACAATATCTAATATTTTAATACACACACACACACATGAAGGTATTTTGTGATGAAAAGGGGGTTCATACGCTTTGCTTTAATAAAAAGTTATATTTCTTTGGATATGATCTGAAATTTCTTCTGTTTAAGTATTTAACATATATGCCTCTTCCAAATGTGTGCTGGACAAACTTCTTATGCAGAACTGAACCTGTAGTATCAAAATAAAAGCACTCATTCTGTAGTGAAATCTCCATTAGTGTCAGCTTTTTTGATCAAATTTTGGAAACTGTAATAATAATAGGTGGCTAATGTTTTTCATTGCAACAATGAATTTGTAAAATGTAAATAAATTAGTAACTATTTGTTAATTGATGTATAACATTTCTGGTTGCATTATGAAGATTTGCTTATTTTTGTGTTTGACTGATTTGATTGCCCAGAGTTAAGAGGACATTTTCAGCATGAAAAGTATAAATGTATGAGGGTTGTGTTTTTTCATTCAATTAATCAAACAATAAATGAACATCAGATTAGTAAATAATGAAAATTAACCCAAAACATCTTCAGTTAATCTATTTATATTGGCACTAAACTCATAAAAGCTGTCAGGTTCCATGTTCTTCAGTGACACAGCGCAGCATGGTGATTTAAATTGGTTCAAATCTGATTCATCTCTTCTGTGAGTTTGCGCTTCAGCTTTCCCCAAAGCACAAAGATATGCATGTAAAATTAATTGGCTATTTGAAATTGGCAATTGATGTGAGATAGACAAAGTGCTTGAAGTGTATAGAAAAGTGTAAATCTCTATATGAATGTATGGGGGGGGGGGGGATTTGTATGAATTTAGCAGATTATTAAAAAGCTGTTACTGTATTTCAAACCAGATGTCATATCGAACAGAAAAATGTAATCCTATAGATCTGGCTGCCTAATTAGTCCACTCAATGTCCTTTAGTTCCTATAACTGTACTGCTTCTAACTAAGGCAGTACAATTCTAAAAACATGAGCCATAAGACAAGTCAATAATGAGAAATATGTGGAATATCTTTTGCAAGAAATACTGACAAGTGTCAAGCTGGAGACTTTCTTAATTCTTGTCTTCTTTTGCCTAAATTCAGTTAATACAATTGCTTATTGTTAGTTTTATTATTGGCAAATTGATGTTTAAAGCCTTTGTCATAGATGGAGCAATGCTGTTGGACAGAAAGTGACAGAATGGCTGGATGACAGTGACTGATGCACTAAAGTGTTCTCCTATGTTTCCAGGCTTAATTTTGACCACACATTAGCTTCACGTCTGTTGTATTTTTGTTTTTCTCAGCTTGGTGCGCTGCATGAAGTGCTGGAGAGACTGCAAACCAAGAGAATTAATCCCTGGGAGAAGAAGTATGGACAGGTCCCCTCTGTGAGTCACTAACACTAAGATAAGATAAGATAAGATAGAACTTTATTAATCCCTCGGGTGGGTTCCTCTGGGAAATTCGATTTCCAAAAAAGCACAGCACCGACAGAACTATACTCTGATTTAACACTTGTGACAAAAAATGTTTAAAACATTTATAATTTCTCTAAAAGTGTATAACATTCTAAACCTCAGTGCAAAGGTGCTCAAGAATAAAGGTATAACAAAAATGTAATGAAAAAAATCAAAAACAGCAACAGTGCACCAAAGCTGAAGTAGCATTTTACTGTTTTAATGATTAAAGGTATGATTCCCTCTGGAAAAGTGCTTTTCTCGGCATCAGAGATCGTCCTTGCTGTGCCTTTCTTTTTTTTTCTGACAGCAGTTATGAATGACTTCTTTTGGACTGCAAGAAAGTATAAATGAGCAGAATGGTTGTGTTAACGTCTTCTTCTGATACTTTGTGAATTTTCATTCCATGAAGTCCAGAGTTTGATATTAAAAAGTTATTTGTGTTCACAGTGTGATCTTGGGGAATACTGTGCCATCAGGAAAGGATCTCGCATTGGGAAGATGTGCGACTGCCCCCGAGGAGCTTTCTGCAACTTCTTCCTCCTTAAGTGCTTATGAGCAAATTAAATCATGTCACAAAAGTCTATTTTAAATTGTAGATTTAACCTTTAGAATGGAATGAATCCTTTGTCAATTTTTATGTGAAAACATTTTTGTGCTGCATTAAAGGTGTTTTATCGTGCTTTTAAAAATGTTGTAGAGGTTGTTTTTTGTTTTTTTTTAATAAAGTACACAGACCTTCTCATAAGTTTTCATACATTGCAAGATGTGTATGTAAAATCCTGACTAATCAGGCAAAAGACAGGAACCCTGTTCAAGCTTGCAGTCCTTGTATCAACACACATATGTAGCATAAATGTAGCCTTTTGGGATCTGTGAGAGTCATATTTCCTCTGATGATAAAAGCCAGAGTCTTGACAAAAAGTGTTGAGGTCATGTAATTTCAAACTATTAATGTTAAACTTAATGAGAAAAAGTAGATCGTAGCACAAACGAAGCAGAAAAATCTTTGGATAGCTTTTCACCGTGTTTGTGACATAAACGTTTGACTTGCTTTTCTACAGGTCCTTTGACAGTTATTCATTTTCCAGTCTCCTAACAGTGATGCCATCATGGCTGTCCCCATGATGGTGACCATAACCCAGGCTTAGAAGACACACAACTATGCAAAATTTTCATTACCTATTTTTTCCCCTCTTTTGTCTAAAGCAGCTGTTTTCAGCCTGTATTGTTTTTACGCTTTTTCTACTAATTTTTGTCAAATCAGCTGCTCTGCTGCCAGTAGACTTTACCCTTTAACCTTTAATACTATCAGGACAAACGTAAAGTTATCATGACTTAAAAAGGCTACATCAAATTATGTAACACATAAATATAACAGATTCGATGAAGTTTAAAAAAAAAAGGCAATCCACCACAATTTGACAGGAAGCAGCACCTGATCAATCAGAACCATTATTTGTTAGTAAATGTAGAATGGGCTGTTTATTAAAAATGACTTTCAATTGTGTGTCAAAACAATGAAATCAAAGGACAAACATGTTCCTAATATTAAGCAGCCTTGTGTGGCCTCTTCTGTTCCTCCACATAATTACTGGCATGACTCAGTTTAAAAGCATCAAATTTACAAACATAATTGTATTTTCAGCCAATAATTGATGGGGTTTATTTAGTTTCACCCAACTGGTCCTACACTTATGAGAAAAGGATAACTTAACACCTCAAGTTTGGAGAGGGAAAACACATAAAACGGATGTCCACAAATCATCAGTCCTACAGCAGAGCTCTTTGTCCCAAATGGATTTTATTGGGAAGATACTGTACAGAGCTTAGACTCCTCGGGGCTGCTTGAAGTTCATGCCGACAGTAGGTTGGGTGACCTGCAGGTTGGACAGGCTGCCAAAATCCTGAGGGACATAAACAAGACACTGGTTTAAGAACTGATCTGAAAGGAGATGACTGCAACTCAATATCAACTCAATACTCAATGTCTGAGAGCACCAGGGTCTGACAGGAACAGACAGTCCAGCAAACACAGGGAAGGCTCACATGTTTATATGCCTGTAGTTAATAAATGACCTGGCAACAAAGGCGCCATGATCACCTTTCGATACAGGCTCAAGGGAAATGCAAAAGCAACAGCAAAGTTACGCAGCTAGCTGTCTGCGTCTTCTTGATGGAATGGTCCTTCAAATATTTTGGCCTGCTGTGTAGCACGACTACCCGGCTGGTTTGTTCTTCAGCTGTGGTGAGTACATTTATATTCACTTATTACCAGGCATGTGTGGCTGCACCAGCATAAACACTCATGGTTTTTTTAAATGCGAAATAAATACGTGATGTGAAGGTTTTAATATAGTGATGTTAAACAAAATGGGTGGGGGATCTAACAGCATCACATGAACAACAACACACTTAACAAAAACTGCCAAAATCAGTGTGAAAAACTAAGTACACCCCCATGACTCCCAATCAGGTTGAGGTTTGAACTTTGACTAGGCCATAGTTCCCTTCTTTCGCTGCATCTCTGTTGGAGATTTGCCCCTGTCCCGTTTCCTGACCAAAGCTGATCATTTTGATATACAGAGTACAACAAGACGTCCTGTGGCTGCAAAAGCAGCTCATATCACTGGTCTCCTCTGTCCATGGGGCGTAGTTTTAGAAGTGTGTGGTTTATCAAAGCCAAGTAAAAGCATTTGTTGATAAATGACCGAAAAGAGAAATCACTACCTTCATCTGTTACACATTTACCGATTTATTTCAGCATCGTGTAATTATTTGTCTTCAAACAACAGGCCTAACACAGTTCCCTTGTACATTTTAAGTAGTAATACTATTTTTACTTCATAACAGTGAAAAACTTATTGTTAAAATTATTTAACATGAACACTTAAATTTATCATGTAAACATGCCAGATTTAGCCAGAGACTCATTTTCATCTGCAGTCCCTGGAAGGCTGATGGTGTTTACAGACAGAACAGGCCCGTGGAATCTAAGGTGCAGGGTTTGTTTGGTTTTTCAGTTTATCTGAACACTGCATTGTCTGACATTGGGCTGAATTTGCTGGGGTGTCCACTCCCAAGAAGGTCGGCAACTGTCTTGAATTAGAAACCGCTTTAGTTACCAAATACATGTACACGTGCATAGAACTGGATTTGGGCTATTTCTTTGTCTGTAGTGTACATAACAGAGTAGACAACAGCACATATAGCATACTTATATGTGTTTAAAAAAAGAGAGGAAAAAACACATGTTGTCCCATTATCTAATTTTTTTCTGTCTACGACATTTCAAAACAAGTTTTAAGGGCATGCTGCACTTTGACTCTGGTTTAAGTGGCTGTTTTTAAAAGCTCCCTTCTTGCTGCTGGAATCGGACCGTTACAAGCTCAGGTTGATTCTAGTAAAATCCTTTACCTGGAAATTCTGCCATTTAAAAGCTGAACACAGGGACAGAGGCAAATATGTCCCAACAAACTGATTTCAGCCATTTAAATGCTTCTGTGCTTTAAATAAAATCTTCTGGTTTAAAAGGCCTGAACAGCAAACTCCACTCTGACAGTAACACTGGTTACACAACAACTGCCAGTTTTAATGAAACACTAAAATGGATCAAAGTGTTCTGAAGTTTTCAAACCCTCTGGTTCCTCTGAAGGCGATTCGTGACCTCCCTTGATGTTGCTTGATGAGATGTGCCTTCCTACAACTCCTCTCTAGAACTACACAAACTTTTTCTAAAGAGCTCCACTGGCTGGATACGATTCAACACTCAAACTCCATTAACTCCAACCATTTTTTTTTATTTCCCAACTCAAGACCAATTGCTCTGTTATCATTAACAAGATTAGATGCCTGTGTCTGATCTCATTCCACCATTAAACATCTAACAAATCAGCTTCTTATTTCTGTCATTACCTTTGTGAGCCTGTTGCTTTTACATCTTTTTATTTTCATTTGTAGTTGGAACAGGCCTTTAATTCTAAGATTTATGTCTGATCACATAATTTTTCAGTAGTTTGTTTTTGTGTTTAAAACACGGCACACAGAGGATTCAATTTGTGAGAGGATTTGTTTACAGTATAACAGACCCTTGATTTTAATCAGTTAATACATTAACCGCTAAGCCCCAGCAGAGTAAGATGAAAGTAAGTACCGCAAAAACTGTACTTGTTCTGTCCTGTTACAGAAAGACTTACCAGCAGCTTCAGCATCTCCTTGGTGTCGGGATCAACTTCAATCAGCTCCTGGTCCAAAGCAGACACCTGGACAGATAAACACACAGGAATCACATTAGCCATCACTACATTCTTCATTTCCGGTTAATACTTGTACTACATATAGTACTGTGTATGACTGTGTACGTGACAAATAAAATTTGAATTTATCTCACACCTCAGTTATTTCCACAGTTACAAAGTAACACCATATTATTTTGTTAACTTATATCCATCTGTTGTGTTTAAAAAAATTGTACGAGTGCACAAAAAGAACAGAAAGTCCTTCAAAACTCAAGAAAATTTGTATGTGTTTTTTTCTGCATTGTGAATCACCTGCCTACAGACCATAATCACAAAACAACTGGTAGAAAGAAAGGTGTTCGGTTCAGGCAGACTACCAGGACACAAAAAACACATAACAGGCACAATTTGGTTTAATGTGTCCAAAAGCCCCATCAGGGCTGGACACTCGACTGTTCCAGCTCCTGACCATGTTTGCACTTCTGAGATCACCTGTGGATAAACTGGTTGAAGCAAACACTCACAAATATATAGCTCTGTCTTGCAGCCAGTAACAAAATGTATGAAGCCAGTGGTACAAAACTACAGTTTTATTCAAATTTGCAACGTAGATGCACGCATACTGAAATATTGGCACACTACAATGCAGACTTTTTTTATTTGCCTTTTTTTTTTCTTTCTACTTTGTACATTCTCTGCTATTACTCTGCTCTATTACTGTTAAGCTCAACTATTTCTCCAATAGATGAAACAAATCAAAACCCAAACGCCAGATGGAGTGAAGATACTTTCTAATCCTAATCAAATGTTAATGGGTAAAAAGGAAATCAAAAGCTTCAAACACAAACAGATAGGGATGCTATAAAACATGGATGTAGATTCCAGGATAGGGAAGATTAAGCCAATGTGGAAATATCGCCAACCTGCATTCTATCTGAGAGCCACCAGATGGCATAAGCTGTGGTTGCAAAGAGGCTCCAGATTCTAAAGAATCCTTTTATCTTGGCCTCTGTCCTGTGGAGTTTATGGTCTTAGTCTCTTACTCTGTATTACAATAAATAAAAGAAACGGTCTGCAGTGCTCACGCAGAGCAACTTTCAAGTGTCTTTCTTTTACTGCCTTCAACAGGCATCGTTACATATGTCTGGAAAAATGTTTGTTTAGAAATTAGAATAATTGTATTACTCTAGAGTGATTGTTGCAAACAGATTGAATTTAAGTGCCAATTTGATTCGCACAATCCAAAACTGATTCCATCTTATTGCCATTTTATCCCCATCTTGATGCACTAATATTCCTTCGAAAACAGAACCTGACTGGGAGTGATCTCAGACCTGATAATATTTTTAAAGGGACCAATTCAAAGGCAGGAAAATCATGAGTTGATTGGTCATGGTCACAATAATTATGGTTGTGCCGTAGTTTCCAACCACTGGTATCCCTAGTGCAACTGTAGCCTTACAGGCTTGTGGGATGAGTTTTGTGCAGCATGTTGAGGTGCCTGGAACAATAATTGAGATCCATCATACAGTTTACATGCAACACATTAATATTTATAAATGTGAAACAGTTTGATGTTTTACACAATTAAATGTCAAATTTAGAAATCCATGAGTTTAAAAGTGCAAATAAATTGATCTTCAGAAAAATTAGACTTATTAAAATGTACTCATTCCACTCCTTTACCCAAAATAATATCCAAGCTTTTGCTTTATTTCTTAACATTTGTTTAAAAAAATAAATGTGCCAAATTTGCCAAAAGAAAAGAAGTTTACTAAGGTAAACTGGAGCAGTTGGCAATTATAACGACAATACTGTAACACTACAGCCATATTTTCTTTAAAAAGAAAAAGTCAGTGGTTCCCCTCAAAGCTGTGTATTTGTAGTTTTAATTGTGAAGACTTAGCACAATTTAACCCCACATTTCACAATAACAAAAATTGTTTCAAAAACACTCTTAAAAACAGACTTATGTTTTAGGCTAATAATGCACAGATTTGGCTATTATTCTGTGCCTGACCCATTTAATCAATCACATAAGCTACCAGACCTCAGTATCAATGGCCTGCTGATGCACTCTTGATGCTTTTCAGCTCTATATTGCAGCAAATAAATCCACACATTCACAAATAAAAATAATGGGGACAAACAGTGATCTGTGCACTCTGCTGACAGCCTTCTTCATCTGTATGCAAAATGAAAATTACTGATGCAGCAATTTAGCCATTCATTCTTCACTTTTTATCTAGTTGTATATTGCTGTAATATTGTATGATTACAATAGACTTGCCCAGCACATGAACCCTGTAGTACCATGTACGTTTAGTTACGTGACCACTTGTGGATCAGGCTCAAACTTCAGTCAACAATCAGCAGATCGTTCAGCACTAGGGCTGGGCCATATTATACTGTTCACGGTAATACCGGTATAATGTTAGGCAACGATAGGAAAATGAAATATCGCGATAGAATATGAGTAAAACGAGCATGCGCAGAGCCTTTGTTTTCATACGCACATGGCCGATTGTTGAGTGAAACAAATGAACCAGATTTGGTTTGTAAAAATGGTGCAACTTCAGTGATGTGGAACTGGTTTGGTGTTTGTCCATCAGATACACGACAAAGCACATTTTTTTGCAGAACATGCAAGCGGCCGTCGTTATTGTCGTATTTGTCGGACTAAGATGCTCTTAAATCTGGGAGTAATCTGGGTCCTAAACTCTGTATTGTTCAGGTCAAACGAACACTGCAGCATCACTGAGAGTTAAAAACTGTCTAAATTCTTTCATCTTTAATAAAACGATCAGCATTGCTGCTTTACCAGGTGTAACTATGAAGTTTAACTTCCAGGCATCCATGAAAACAAAATTTATTACATTTAACGGAGTTAGAAGTTAGCAGGAAGCTAGCGGAAGTTAGCTCGCTAGTTTTGCTAGTTACCTAAGCATGATATTGCATGTTCTGACTGAGAGATTTCTGAAAAAATTCAAACGTACAGCTCTGCTTTCACTTCCAACATAAATGAAGACAGGAAACTAAACAGCAGTGACGCTTGTAGGGTTACTGAAGTTGGGCTAGCTGGTATATAATGATGTGCTACGTGATCGCTAGCGACACAGCTATGTTAGCATAACATAAACAATGAAGCTGGAGGACGAACACTAACACTTTTCCACTTATAAAAGTTAACGTTAAGGTTCCTGATAGTTAGAGACAAATGCAATCGCATGGCAGGATGCTGTAAACGGACCAAACTTCAGTCAGGAGAACAACTGAGATAATCCATCCACAATACGAGGTTAGTCATTAATATACTGCAACAACATGGGAATAGAGCCGCTGCCAGAGAATTCAACATTAATGAATCAATGGTACAGAAGTGGAGGAAGCAAGAAGAATGAGTTTAATAAAGTTTGATTTATCTGACTGCTTTGTTTCGCTTAATGTGCCTTATAATCCCGTGCACCTTATGGTCCGAAAAATACGTACTGCACACTGCAGTTTAATGTTGCAAAGCACCTCTTTTTAACTTCAGTGGATATTATACATGGTTATGCTCAGGATATGTCAGCCCATTTCTACTGGAAATGCCTTTTGGTTAAACTTTCAGCAAGGAATTTGCATTTGCACTGTTACATTTTTATAAAGCTTTAATGTACATAAAAGCTTCTTGTTTAAGTGAAAATAAATGGAAGGTTGTCTTTTTGCGCTAGTAATGTTGTGGAGTTGTATTTTGTCTCACATCAATTATATCGTCAGTTATATCGTTATCGCAAATTTTCAAATATATATCGTGATAAATATTTTTGGCCATATCGCCCTGCTCTATTCAGCACCTCTCACCACAACATTTACAAACACATCTATGGCAAAATTAGAAAAAGATACAACAGGAACTATACTAATGGTCCCAGTGGTTCCGGTAGCATGCTACCAGAATCAACAAGTTTTACAAGAGCAGATTCACTGCTTTTACCCGGTCTGGTATAACCAACACAGTGATGCGTTCACTGACCTCTGGTACATAGTTGTCTCTCCTCTCTCTCTCTTCCTCCTGCAGTTTGATGGAGATTCCTCTGACTGGACCCCTCTGAATCCTCTTCATCAGATGTGTTACATACCTACAAGTGGAGCAACGCACACAAAGTTGTCATCACATGGAACTGCCATGATAATACCATAGAAATTTGTACATATTATAGAAATGTCATGTAGGGACATGGTTACTATAGCAACACCATATGTTAAGATTCCCAAATGCATCGAGACAAGCCTGGGCTTGTCTGAGACCAAGAGCCAGGTGCCAAGGCACCAGTATACCCTCCATACTGGTTGCTTTGCTGCCGCAACATCATTACAGTCACTTCTATTTGTGCCATATAAGCACTGATATAGAAAGAGAAGAAATCAAAACCAGAAGCAAAGACACTGCCCAGTGTTTTTTTCCCCTCTCACAAACTCAGGTTTTCAAACTGTGCAACATCTCCCTCATATATCTGTGAATCTCTACGCTTCTGTAGTGAATACCATTAAAATGGCGGTAAAAACGGACATGATCATATCCTGGTGTCTTCAATCCGGCTGCAGCAGCCACGGTGCAACACGCCAGGCTACAAAAATAGATAACTGTAGGTGGTGTACGACACAAAAACGGCAGCCCACACCAACAATTATGACCTTTTTTTTTTTTTTGCACGTGGTGCGCATACAAACACCACCAGTCTCTGATGATGTATTTTCATGAAATACCACTATAATTTTGAGGCTTTTTAACGCACCTCTAATCTAAAAACACTGATGGTTTTGGAGTGTGTTTTGGTACAAAAGTGACTTAAAAAAATGATGAAATAAAGGCTAACTCTGCTGCGAACTCAGATTCCACACCACAGGCCTTCCATCAATATCTGCCTACTTAACAGAAAAATGTATTTATTTAATTAATGTCTACCATCCCAGGAATTGTTTGCGTGTCTTAGAGCACCAGGGTCTGATAGGAATTGGCAGTCCTTCAAACACGGGAAAGGCTCAAAGGTTTATCTTCCTGTAATTTTTAATGACCAGGCAACATAGACGCCATGATCACCTTTCGATACAGGGTGGCAGATAAGCAAGACAAATTTGTGGTTGTGGGCTCCACTTTGCAATAGACAACTCACCCAGCGATCTTGTTGCGGAGCTTCTTGCTGGGGATGATGGCTATTTCTTCGCACACCCTCTTGTTGGTGTGGAAGTCATTTCCCAGCCGGGTGTAGTATTTTTCGATGATGACCCTGGCAGCCTTTTTCACCGTCTTGGTCCTGACTCGTCCCTGCATGAAGAGAACACATGTTTACTCGTTACTCCTAGCATTTGGGTAAACTATCGGAACAGTCATTCTGGCACCATTTCTTTAAAAAACATCCGTTTGCCACCATGAGTGGAATCTAAATCCTATTTTAGGCCTGGCCAATCTGCAGGCAACTCCCTACCTGCAGGCTGACCAGGTCAAAGCTGTGGCTGTCCTTGATGTTATATGGCTGATTTTGCACACAACCTCCATTTCCATCATCTTGGACTGTACCAGGCAATGCTAGTCCTTGTTCTGCTCTGCAACGTCAGTGAGCTCCCTGTAGAAGCACATTAAGCAGTTTTCCTCCTGCTGCAGGTTCTGGCTGGAGCGGTCCTCCTGATCACAGTGGGTCTCCTGCACAGCAGAACAAGGACTAAAGGCATCAGCTGCTGCCCAAAATGGTAGAGTTGGAGTCCATCTGACTGGAAGATTACACTAAATGAACAAGCGGCTAAATGAATTCCTGGACGAATACACCGAAGACATAAAGAACCAATTTTACAAATAGGATGAAGAGGCCGAAGTAAATGTACCAACATCCCAAAGTAGTATTGAATTGAATAAGGTTTGTGAATTATTATTATTGATAGCACCATCTATAGTTGTTTCTTAGAGCCTTATGTGAGCCTGTGCTAATTTTGTTAGTTTTATCTTGTTAATGTTTAATATTTTACATTTTTGCCTCTGGGTTGCTCTAACTTCCTTGGAATAAAGTTTACCCTTAAACTTGTGTGTCAGACGTTGTTTTTGGATTAATGTGATGAAGTTTTGTCGCGCCACATAACATCTTCAGTATTCTGAAATCACTTGACCGAAGCACTGTGCGGCTGAAGACAAGCTCCCAACTAGATCAGGGACTGCAGCCTCCAGAGCAGCATTAGCTTCCTCAACGACACACAAGCTAACACCTGAGTTGGCCACCAAGCTAAGGTGAGCTATACTTTTCGGCAATTTAACCATTTTAATGGTTCGTGAACAAACAAATACCGCCTAGGTTGTTCGATCAGTCCTCTCGATATTAACCGATAAAAACCCGAACAAGCACCGCGGCTCATTCAGCCGGTCGCTCCGTCAGCAGCAGCGTTACAGAAGCGCCGATAAAAAGTCGCGTTCGTATCATCTAACGTCAATACAGCGGCCACAAGGAAGGATTATTGATCTGCTGCTTATTGGTAAGGTTAAACGGAATACAAAACATTTTAAACGACAGGATTAGAACAGATAGTGTAGGTAGTCATATAAAAAACACCCACCATGTTGGATCGGCCCTGGTAAAAGAGAACAAGCACACTTCCGGTGGAAGCTTGAATCCTCGGGCGGAAGTTGAAAACAGAAACGTTCTGTCCCTGCAGCGACCCCTCCGACCGTAAGCTAAACAACAACCTCCAACATGCACGTCTCTACAACAGACAAAAAACGCTTTCTTAAAATTTTGTGTTGTTTACCAGCTTTTCTCCTCACTGCCCTGCCATGCTGTTTGTAAGTCAGAAATTTTCAGCGTGTGATCTTGAAGATGTTTCCATATATGAAAGAGAAATATGCATCTACAGGCGAAACAGAAAGTAATAGAAGAGAAAATGAGGAGACCTCAACTGTTTCTTTGACACTTGGTTTGATAAACTTACTACGTTAATGAAAGCGGTAAAATGGTGGGAAAAATCACAAGACCACAAGGCCAAAGCTCAAGAGGAAAACAACGTTTGATTGTGTATTGTTGGTTAAGGTTATGTATGGAGGAAAGCAAATAAAGTGTGTCTTGCGATATATGCCAAATAATGAACCTGACCTAACAATACAAACAAAGAAATACTGATAACATGACATATCAGATGGTATATAGCCTATATTCCACAGAGGTGAATACAGGTTAACTTGTTCTATGATGTGCCACCACTTTGACAGATAATGATGGATAAAATTGAAAAAATGGCAAAAATCAAAAACATCGGGGAATACTGTTTTCATGAAGTGGTGTATATATATGGTCTGCAAAAGTGCTTAGGTCAAAGTAACATCTTTGTGGATGGCACGACCCAAAGTTGCCCAACAGAACATTGCCCAAAACATGCCTCTGCCAACTTGCCTGCATAGGGAATGTAGAGAAAATGTAGCTTACACCAGTTGAGGTATGTAACATGTGACATTATTGTGATAATAAAATAATACCGTTATTGATCCCAAGGGTAAATTTGTGTCTGACATGGCCCATCTGCTATTTGTATGAAAATTAAAAAGCCTAATCGCTGTGGGAGCAAATGTTTTTCTGTATTGCTCTGTTGTACAACAGACAGAGAGGAGTCTTCTATTACTCATCTTCCATGAAAATGTTGTACAGTGGGTGATCAGAGTTATTCACCTCCCCCAGCATGTACAGTCTGGCTCCAGCGCCAGCTTTCTTCACTAATTTGTCTAATCTCTTTGCATCCTTGTATCTGATGCTGCCTACCCAGCAGACTGCACCATAGAACGGAACACTTGCCACCATAGACTGATAGAACACCTGCAGCAGCTTACTGCAGATGTCAAGAGATCTTAGTTACCTTAACAAAAATAGGCAATTTTGCCCCTTTTTTATAGTTCATCTTTATTCGGGGACTAGTCTCCTTGACCAATGTCTCAATTTCATTTGTAGATGACACCTAAATGGCACAATAAAGGTTTAGTCTGCTAGGTGGGTGTTATTTTTAAATAAAAGGTCACAAAGTTTCATGTATGATGGTATAAAACAATCTCAGGAGATAAGATAAGATAAGATAAGATAAGATAACCCATATGGAAAAGAAATAGTAAAAACATATATGATTTACTCATGAAAGTGGCCACTTTCATGAGTAAATCATATATGTTTTTAGTAAGTATACAAAACATACAGGTTTCATTATATAATCTTTCAAGGGATCTTATATGTGTTTTCACTCTTGTATGCTTTTCATACAAGTTTCATACAAGAAAGATAAAAACTTTATAAGATTTATATATATCTTTTCCATATGGGAAGATAAGATAAGATTGTTGGACAACTCACGAAACATCTGCTCACATCTGGTTGAATTCAGTTGTGTAAATCCAAAAAGTGCAGTAAACCTCAAACCAGCAGCAGCACAGGTCAGCTGATCACAGCTTGTACACTAAGAAAATCTACTGGAGTGCTCAGTAGAAATTATTGTGAGTTGTGATTATTTTCCCCACACTGAGTCGCTCCATGTGATTTTTGGGTTACCCCAAACGCTGAGTCCCACTTTTAAAGTCTTCCCCACTCATTTTCCTCACATCACCCTCTCCATTAATATAACAATAAGGTTTTGTTAGCGCTGCATGAAAGCGTTGCACCTGGGCTTTGCCCTCACCTCAGAAAATCTGGAAAGAGAAATGAGTGATGTGTGTCTTTGTGCCTCTGATAGTGTATTATGATGTGTATTTCAGGTTAGCACACTTTTAGAGAAGCCCATAAAGAGCCTGGGACGGTGCTACAATGCAGAACTCCATGATACGTGACAACTAGAACAACCAAGGCAGAACTTGGCTAATGACCTCAAGCGGATTAACAACACTGCACTCCCAGGGAAACTGAAGCGCTGGTGCTTCCAGTTTGGGTTATTACCCAGACTACAGTGGCCGTTGACCATGTATGAGGTCTTTCTCAATCATCCCAATCGACTAGAGAGGCTAGTGAGCTCCTACGTTAAGAAGTGGCTCGGACTTCCCAAATGATTCAGCAGCGTTGGACTCTATAGCGACGGGATACTGTCATTGCCTATCCCATGTCTGATGGAGGAGTTTAAATGTGCAAAAGTGAGGCTTAAGATGTCACTCACGGACTCCCAAGACCCAATAGTGAGAGGGACTGCTCCCACCCAAGCAACGGGGAGGAAGTGGACCCCAGCCACATCTGTGCTACAGGCCAAATCTGCTCTTCGGCATCGTGACGTGGTGGGTCCCGTCCAACAGGGTAGAGGAGGATTTGGTCTTGGAGCAGTAACACCTCGGTGGCAACAGGCATCTGTAACCGAACGTCGAAAAATGGTGGTGGAGGAGGTGCGTCGACAGTAGTAAACAGCCAGACATGTCCAAAGCCGTAGTGCTGGCAAGGCAGGGTCGCTGGATGAATTGGGAGAGGCTCTCATGGAATGAAATCTGGAGGATGGAGTCTAATAGACTGTTTCGTAATCCGAGCGACATACGATGTGCTACCTTCCCCAATAAATCCACAGCTGTGGTTTGGAAAGGACCCATCCCACCCGATGAATTTAAGGTCCACCAGTGACAATGTGTCCCAAATCTTAATATCTAATCTAGATCAGATCTCTAATCCCCCAAAAATGGCAGATTAGGTTGGGTAAAAGTTTCTGGGCTGCCTTTCCTCATAACAGCCATCCCTCAAGATTCTCTCCATTTAAAGCAATGCAATTTCAGGGACTATAACATCTAGTCCTTTTACTGAATCAGGTTAGCACACTGTGAAATCACACAAAAAACTACCTCTGTAAGCTAAATGCACAAGGCCTTTTATGGACATGGTTACTTGTTTTTGTGTAGTTTGCCACCAGTAAAAAGGCAGGAGTTATGAACATGTTATGAACTGTGTTATGAATTAATTTTTATTAATTTTTAAAGCTTTGTATTGTACCAATAATATGATTGTGGATATTTATTTTGAATGCTGGACCCCTGAATCCTTGGACCACGTGTTGTAAGTTGATATTTTTGTTGATACTGTGCTAAAACCAATGTTAAAAAGGTTAATCATAGAAAAGGAATGATTAAGGGTTTAAAATGCGGTTCATTTGATTAGTTTTATAGTTTATTTAGTGTCCTAAACTTATAAACCTTTGCTTGATTGACATATTGAATATTCACCGGTCTGAAAACCTCTAGTGAAAGACTGATTTTTGCTGTTAAGTGAGCTAACTGGGATTTCTAATTGATTGAATTATACTGTGTGATTGAGACCATAAGAGTAAGAGGTTCAATATTGCTTCAATGTTTATTTGGTTTATACCATTTGAGACTGAGTATGTTTAATATCTAATGCCAGTGATCCGTCGTCGCAGCCCACAAATCAGTAGCATACATTGCGTTGAGTCGCATGTGCGCGCATGCGCGTTTTAGAATAATTCCACTATGCCAATAGGAGCCGTCAGTTCACAGACGACAAACGGTAAGTAAATTATCTTTCTTTTTACTTAAGCAAAGTTTTCTGTTTAGTGATATACGGTTAGGGTGACTGCTGGTCTCACGGCTAATGGCTGTCTAACAGATATAGCTGTCAGTTTGTGCTAAGCCGATCTGACAATGTATGTTTAACTCCGACATACAACAAAAGGATAGAGATTTATACAAAGAGACACAGTTGAACAAGGGAAGATTTGCACATTTATTTTGTGTTTGTTATTTGTAATAACAGAGCAAATCTGGCAAGATAAATGAATAGTTCCTGTCTTCATTTTTCTGACAATTTCACCTGAACATTTCAGGGATTCGTATATGTGGCATACATATTTGGCAATACTGTTTGTTAAGAATTACACAATTCATATTTGAATAATTAAAAAAATCAAATTATAGTTTGTTTCATTTAATAAAGATTTATGTTGGTAGATGCTGCCGATGTCATTTTGTTTGCACTTCATTTCCCATGCGGCGTTCTTCTCTCACGTGACTTGTCACAGTCACATGTCAACATGGCTGCCACTGTATGCAACGAAGATTTCACCAACTTACAGCTTCTTCTGAAGGTATGTCAAACATTAACATTTTGTAAAACAGTCAGCTTTCAGAGAGTCTGTTAGTCTGCTAGCTCTTTGTATTTCTCATTCTGTAGACATAAAGACACGATTTTTATCTAAATACTGCAATTTTATATACAAACTTCAGTGAAGTGGAACTGACCTTAAAAACCTCCAGTGACAGTAAATTGAACCGCATTAGCAGATTTGAGGACATCTTAGGGCTTCACGTACCAACTGCATGTTCAGATCTGAGAAATTGTTACACACGTTAGTTTTAAGTCACTGAGAGTGGATTGTTTTTTCTCTGGAGGCTCCTTCTAAAGATGCAGTGAGAGAGGTTTGTGTGCAGAGTCAAAGAGGTCTGAGTCAGCGGCTAACTGAGAGCACTGCAGCAACACTCGGCATTTCGGAAGCCCAGGCTGCACAGGTAAAACAAAAACATCAGTGTGTGTTGGTCCTTGCAGTGTGTGTGGACATACAGTAGTTTACTGACCCATGCTGCAAGCACTTGACTGTGTTTTGGGGGATATAAAGAAAGTTCCACTAAGTTGTATTTTAACTTGAGGACTTGGTTGAAATCGATTAATATAATTTTTTTCCTACCAATTCGCAACTTTAAATGACTGTTCTACATGCACTCACTAGTTTTATTATTATGACATGTGTCAACACTAAAAAACAAAAAAAACCCTCCATATCAAAACTGAAAATATTGTACATTTATGATTATACAAAAAGACCCTTTTCAGGGAAATGGGTCAACAATGTAAAGCTGTTCTGCAGCTATGAAGGTTTATCAAGTCTTGAAAGCTGGTGCTACTAATTCCTACAGGTGTTCCAACTTTTCTGGATTACTTACAAAGCCCCATCTGTCTGCATAAAACCAGTATTGGAACAAACTGTGGTACCATACCCTCGTGAGCATCAGTTGAACAGTAAAGTACTGCAGAAAGTAGTGTGTTGCTACAAAAATGGCAAGAAGAAGGCAATTAACAATGAAAGGGAGACAGACCATCATAACACTTATAAATGCAGGTCTTTCCTACAGAGAAATTGCAAAGAAAGTCAAAGTGTCGGGAGTCCAGTTTCCTTCACCATCAAAAGTAACTCAGAAACTGGGGCAAACTCTGATAGGAAGAGGGCTGGCAGACCCAAAGCCACAACTGAACCAGGCGAGTTGCAGCAATAAAGGCATTGCTAAGACATCGGAATAAGAAAAAGAGGCTTTCCTGGGCCATGAAACACCATCATTGGACTACTGAAGTCTGGAAGAAGGTGTTACGGACTGATGAATCAAAATCTGAAATCTTTGGTTCATCACTCAGGATCTTTGTACGCCGTAGAGTAGACGGAAGGATGGTTCCACAGTGTGTGGCATCAACTGTCCAACATGGAGGAGGAAGTGTGACGGTCTGGAGCTGTTTTGCTGGATTTGACAGGTGGTTCACTTGTAGAGCTGGCTTTGGGTGGCCAGTAGAGGAACTACAGTTTTTGACATTTCCTAACTGGGTTAATTTTCTTGATCCTCAAATTTGAGAACACGGAATCATTAAAATCTTGACATTCTTACTTTGAAAATTACTTAAAGTTCAGTGAGCATCAAAATAGTTAACTATTGCTGGCTTTGATCGAGAACTTTAAATAGCTGTAAAACATGTATTTCCAATGTGAATCTGAGTTATTTTCTGTCCTTTAGCTGGTCCAGTCCCTCCATGCACTCTCCCATTACGTCCTTTTCTACAACCTCAGCTCTCCAGAGCAGATCCTCGCTATCTTCCCCGAGTCCTTCCATTCCAGTCTGAAAAACCTGATCACCAAGATTCTGTTAGAGAACAGGTCAGTCCCAGAAAAACCTTGAATGCTGCACGCTATTCATTTCTTTTAAATTAGCAGTAAACTGTTTTTGTTATTCCCTTCAAAAATAAATAAAAATGTTGATTAGAGAAAAAAAATGTTATAGATGAAAAAAGTAATGTGGGCTCGAGAGGGAGATAAAGGTATTAAATGTGTTTAACGGGATGAGAAATGTTCTTTCTTTCTGTTTTCCCCATCTTACTATTTGCTGATGATGTAACCATAAGCTGTAATTATGTCTGATGTCTCTGCTGTTTTGCAGTGCAACATGGAGGACAGAAGCCCTCAGTAATCAGAGTGAGTAGACTCTATACTCGTCGTTTATAGCTATGCACATATGTGTGTGTTTACATGTGTTTGTATGCATGTAATGTATGTCTCTCCTTCTATAAACCATACCATGATGGCAAAAGCTGAATTATATGAGACATATATTGTACCTCCGCCTGTAACAGCAAACCTGACAAAAATCAGTTTTTGCCTTGTTCATTGCAATAATGTAATTTATGTTGCTTTGTAAAAGCAATTTGGCTGGACCACCATTATATGTGGAAAACAATGGGGATGATGTCACCATCTGTCCATATATTTTGCAGTTTTTACCATTATACTGCAAGAAGATTTGACTGGGAGTTTATCTTGCCATTTCAACCCCCTGTGTTAAAAGACTGTCTGTAGGAGATTATTATATCTCAATGTAATATCCCCTGAAATCATTGAGTCGTGTGTGTGCATGTGTGTGCGTGTGTGTGTGTGTGTGT